GTTCGACTTGCTCCTGACTATGATGCTTTGGATGTTGCCAACAAAATTGGGATCATCTAAACTGCGTCCAGCTGGCTAATTCTAAATACAAATTTTTCTCACACACACAAAAAAGCCAATATTAATAACAAATTTCTTACTCAAAATGCTCACTTAATTGCTAACGGATACAGTTTTAAGTCCTGTTCATTTTATCAAGAGTCATTTAGAAAGACTACCTACCATAAGGAAACACAATCTCTGAGTACAACAGTCAAATGCTTTATTTTCAAGGCAGAATTCTAGGTCCTCACAAATAGTCTAATGCTTCAATTCAATATCATTTTTGACCAGTTATTAGAAATGTGTTATGTCCATGAACTACTATAACTTTCCAAAATTCTAGGAGTTTTAGTAGGACAGAGTTGTGACAACTGAAATAGAGAAGATAGAAAAAATTTAACTCTCCTTTTACATGTAAAAGTTAAAAGTTCATGAAGTATATAAACTCTATGTTGCCTTCCTTAAATTTTAAAAATTTCTAATTGTTCAGAGAGCTGTACAATGACTAGGGATGACAGAAAGAGAATTGATGCCTTTGAGCTGTGGTGCTGGAGAAGAGTACCGAAAATGCTATGGACTGCTAAAAGAACAAACAGGTTTATCCTGGAGAGGGTGAAACCGGGCTGTTGCTTGGAGGCAAGGACTCTAAAGCTTTGCCTGACATACTTTGGACACGGTGCAAGGAGGGAGCAGCCTTGGAGAGGGACGTCATGCTTGGGACAGTGGATGGTCAGCACAGGAGAGGAAGACCCTCGATGAGGTGTACTGATTCAGTGACTAGGATAATGAGGGTAGGTATGTCGGAGACAATAAGATTGACAACAGGATAGAGCAGGATTTAGGGCTGTTGTACACAGGGTTGCTATGAGTCACAGGTGACTTGATGGCATATAACAACTGCCCTTTTACCAAATGCTGACACAATTAGGTCTCAGGGCATCTCAATAAAAATCTTGCCATTTCTTAAAAATTATCACTGAGTAGCAGTTCAAGTTAAGACCACATGGCATATTCCAAATTATAAAATAGCATTATATATTTTAAGAAAAAGATTTCTTTTTATTTTTCCTTTAGTCAAAATACAGATAGCTGTTGTTATGAGACTATGTATCATGGCTCTGAATCCTGCCCTATTCTCTGAGCCTGTCTCACTGACTCCGACAAACCTAATCCCACTGCCCCAGTTACAATGTCAATCCATTTCATCCAAGGTCTTCATCTCTTGAACTTACCTTCCATCTTTCCAAGCATGATATTTAGTATATGATTTCAATTAAATTTCCTTTTATTTTTACTGTACATAATTGTAAGGCTTCAATTACAATTAGAATCAATTACAGAATTCTATTAATGCTAGTAAACGCTAATTAAAGTTATCCCTTTTCTTCCCCAACTTTTTCTAGCTCAATTACCAAGAAAATACTTTTCACTTATATGCTATTTTTCTTGTAGTTAAGAATGTTTACAAATATATTTTGCTAATTTTATCATATCACTACTAAACTGTCTTCAAAAAAGATAAGCACTCTTTAACAATGAACAGAGTATGCTACTGGGAGAAGTAATTTAGTACAGTGATTGAAAGAAGACTCTGAAATTCTTTAGCTCCGTATTTGAGCCTGGGAAGCTCTGGTGGCTTTGTGGTAAGGAGCTGTGCTGCCAACAGGATGGCATATGGTTCAAATCGCCAACTGCTCCACAGGAGAAAGATAATCTCTTCTCGAGCAATTTACTACCTCTGAAAACTCGCTAGAGGATCAACAATGAGTTGGTTCTGACTCAACAGTACATATTTGAGCCTAGGTTTTGCCATTTAATGATTTAGATGAGTTACAAATCTCTCAGCTACCTTATCTATAAAATTATAGTTCATAACAATATCTATATCACTAGATTCTGAAGATAAAAAAATCCACATAGAAAAAAACAGCAGAAAGTAACAGGAAAAAGAAAAAAAAAGAATAAACTAGCAGAATGAAAGGATGGCAGAGTAAAACACACATCTTTGTGATATTGTTAGGTGCCATTACTCATAGCATAGAGTATACTCATAGAGTCCATTACTCATAGTGACCCTACAAAGAACAGATTTTAACCTTACCATATCCTGTGCCATCCCCAATCTCTGATTTACTCAAGTCCATTGTTGTTGTTGTTGTCATTGTGTCAGTCTATCTTGTTGAGGGTCTTCCTTTCTTTTTCTCACCCTCTACCTTTCTAAGCATGATGTCTTTTTTTTTCTAAGACTGGCCCCTCTTGACAACATGCCTAAAAATATCACTTTTCTTTCCTCTAAGGAGCATCCTTCTAGTACTTTCTCCAAAACAGACATTGTTCTTTTAGCAGTTTATGGAATATTTAGAACGCTTTTACAACATTAAAACTCAAAAGCGCTGATTCTTCTTCTGTCCTCTTTATTAACTGTCCAACTTTCAGATGTATTGCAAGTAATCTGAAAGACTATGGCATGGATCAGGCACACCTTAGTCTTTAAACTGATATCTTTGTTCTTTAGCACTTTGGAGAGATCCTTGGTAACAGATTTTCCCAATGCAACATGTCTTGTTATTCCTAAACTAATGTCACCATGAGCTGCTGATTATGGATCCAAGTAAAATGAGGTCATTGACAACTTCAAACTTTTCTTCATCATATCATGATACTGTCTATTGGTCTAGTGTTTAGGATTTTTTGTTTCTTGATGTTGAGATGTAATCCACAATGAAGGCCATGATCTGTGCTCTTCTGCAACATGTGTTTCAAGTCCTCATCTGTGTAACACAGATTGTTATTGAGTCTTCCTTCAATCCTGATGATGTCACATTCTTCTCTATAAAGTCCAGTTTCCTGAATGATATGCTCAGCATATAGGCTGAATATAAATGGAGAAAGGATACAACCCTACCATACACCTATTCCTGATTTTAAATCATGCATTGTTCCCTTGTTCTGTCTGAACAATAACTTCATGGTATAAGTTTTCCATGAGCACAATTAAGTGTTCTAGCGTTCCCATTTTTCTTAATGTTATCCATAATTTGCTATGATTCATACAGTCAAATATTTTTGCCTAGACAATAAAACACAAATATCTTTCTGATAGTCTCTATCTTCAGCCACAATCCATTTGACATCATCAGTGATATTCCTTGTGCCATGACTTCTTTTGAATACAGTCTGAATTTCTGGCAGTTCACTGCTGATGTGCTTTTCTAGACATTTTAAAAATAATCTTCAACAAGATTTTACCTGCAAATAATGTTATTGAATAACATCCAAATTGTGTGTTTAATAAATGTTATTTGCAACTATTCTATAAAAAAGAATAAATCTGTGCTTTTAAATGGCAAGAGATAAGAATTTCATAAAACTCTATCTTCAGATATTAAATAAAGTGGCAGCTAAAACTAAATCAAGATATCATTACAATAGTAAATTGCTAATTAGACCCTAAAATAGATGGCACCCCAATACTCACCTATAGTGAGACTCTTAACCTAATTCAGAATTCACTGAAAGATAGAAAGGCTACTTACTGTTCACTGCAACCCACTCATTTAGGTCTTCACCCTCAGGAAGCATGACAGCCATCCGAAGGTTGCCACTGCCAAGTGTGGCTTCTGCATGCTTTAAAAGTTCATACTGGTGAGAACCCTCTGGAATGTTCTTCTTTGGTTTAAATGTTTTAGAAGAGCGACTACCACTATGAATAGAAAAGAAAAAAAAATAATTTCAATTATCAAAGGCATGACCTTCAACAGAGCCTTCTATACTATCTTACTGATAAAAAACCAGAGGTGATAGTTAATGTCCATGAGGAATAGCAAATACCTAAACCCTCAGATGGCACCTTAGAGAGATAGTACACAATAACCAAAAGGTTTGCAGTTCGAACCTACCAGTCTCTCTAGAGCGAAAAATGAAAAATAAAGATTTATAGCATCAGGAGCCCGACAGCAAGAAGGATGCCATGGACTGCAATCAACTCAGTGACAGTGAGTTCATCGGCATTAGACTTCATCTATATTGTTGCTGTTAGGTGCCACTGAGTCAAGTATGACTCACAGTGAATCTATGAACAGACCTGAACCCTGCCCTAGCATGTGTCATCCTTATCCTCTCTCAAACGCTTGAGCCCACTGAGGCAGTCACTATGTCAATCTATCTCACAGGGGTTCTTCCTCTCCTTTGCTGACTTTCCACCTTTCAAGCATGAAGTCCCTTTCCAAAGAAAAGCCCCACCTAGCAACATATCCAAAGTATGAAAGATGAACCTTCTTTATCTGTGCCTCCAAGGAGCTCTAAGGCTGCACTTTCTCTAAGACATATCTATTTGTTCTTTTGGCAGACCATGGGATATTCAGTATTCTCCAACTATATTAGCTATTTTAAGTATCAGTAATAAAGCTGTAGAAATTCTGATAGTCAATACTTAAAACACCTACAAACCTTCCCTACAGTCTTTACTGTAATTTCCAAGAGGAAAATAAAAAATATTTAGCAGACTACTAAACAACAAATTGTGACTAACCTTGAGAAAAATGGGAATTCCAGAATACTCAATTGTACTCATGCAAAACCTGTATCTAGACCAGGAAGCTGTTGTCCAAATAGAGCAAAGGAACACTGCATGGTTCAAACTCAATAAAGATGTGCATCAGAGATGTATCCTTATTCCACACCTTTTCAATCTACATGCAAAACACATCATTCAGGAAGCTGGACTTTATGAAGAAAAAAATGTGGCATTAATATTAAAGTAAGACTTATCAATTAACTGTGTTATACAGATGATACAACCTTGTTTGCCAGATCTGAGGAGGATTTGAAGCATTCCTTACAAAAGGTTAAGAACTCCATCCTTCAATATGGATTGGATCTCAACAGCAAGAAAATAAAGATCCTCACCCTAGGCCAAATGGCAGCATCATGACAGAAGGAGAAAAGATTGAGGTTGTTAACAATTTGATCTTGCTTGGATCCACAATCAACATTCTTGGCACCAGCAATCAGGAAATCAAAAGATGAGTTGCTATGGGAAAAATCTGTGACCAGGGACTTCAGAGCACCAAACAACAATGATGCTAGAGACTAAGGTGTGCCTGATTCATGGTATTCTCAATTGTTTGCTATACATCTGAGAGTTGGACAGTGATGAAAGATGACAGAAGAATAGATGACTTTAAGAGGTGGTGCTGAAGAAGAGTACTGAACATACCAAGGACTGCCAAGAGAATAAACAGGTCTGTCCTGGAGAGTGTGAAACCAGGCTGCCCTTGGAGGCAAGGTTTTTGAAACTCTGTATCACATAATGTGGCATGTTGTCAGGAAGAACAGTCTTTACAGAATAACATCATGTTTCAAAGGGTAGAGGGCCAGCACAGGAAAGGAAGACCTCGGATGATGGATTGACACGGTGACAGTGGCAGTGGGGTCAGGTGTGTCAGAGATGGTGAGTTTGGCTCAGGATAGGGCAAGGTTCAGAGCCACTGTTCACTATGGGAATGCTATTAATTGCACTTAAGGGTAAATCACAACAACAATCTCTGGTGCCAAGGCCTTTTCTAAACCCAGCTTAAACTCCTGGCAGTTTTCTGTCCATGTACTGTTCTAATAGGTTTTGGATGATCAAGAACCAATGGTGATGAAGAATGAAGTTCAAGCTGCTTTGAAGGCATTAGCAAAAAAAGAAATAAGCTCCCAGGATATAAGTGACATCAGGAACAACAGGCTGGAACCACCAATTAAATGTTGAACTCCCTATCATTCCACAGGCTTAAACTCAAGCCCAGAAGCATGCCCAAATGCAAAGTAAGCCAGCTATATTAACCAACAACACACATGGCACAAGGTTTTTCTTCATCTTTCTTTCAAAGAAATAAATGGCCTTGCTTTCTGGGTTGTATATTTTCTTTTCTTTCTAGATTGTTCCCATGCTTTCAGCATGAGTCATCCACATGAAGAACAACCCTGTTTCCTAGGCTGGAGTTCACTATCTGCACACCTCTGGGGTGCACCATGGGTTGTATGTTTTCTAATAAAACTGTCTTCACCTTCACTTAAAAAAAATACATAAGCCCAGGAATTGCTGAAGATCCTAAATGGTGTATTGCAACAAGAGCTGCAGCAACAGCCATGCCCACCAAGTTATGCTTGTATATTTCGAGGACATCTGACTTTGTGGATCAAAACAAATGATGGCTTATACTGAGAAGAACGGGAATTCTAGAACACTTAATTATGCTCTTGCAAAACCTATACCTAGACCAAGAAGATGTGATACAAATAGAGCAAGGGAACACTGCACAATTTAAAATCAGGAAAAATATGTGTCAAGGCAGTATCCTTTCTCAATACCTACACTACCTGTACTCAGATAAAAGAATTTTAGAAGCTGGAGTATATGAAGAAGAATGTGTCATCAAGACGAGAGGAAAGAATCATCAACAACCTGCATTAAGAAGATGTCAGAACCTTGCTTGCTGAAAGTGAGGAGGACTTGAATCACTTGTAAAGGGATCAAAAACTACATATTTCATTATGGGCTACATCTTAACATCAAGAAAACAAATATGCAACAATAAATGAAAATCTAACTTCAACAATAAATCAATGAAAATCTAACATCTTGTAAATGTTCATTAAAATCACAATTAAAATAAAATTTTCTTTAAAAAAATAAAATTGAGAAGGAAAAAGAAAATAAAAATCCTTACCCACTAGGCAAATAGTCAACATCATAAGTGGAGAGTGACAGAAATTGCCAATGACTTCATCTTGCTTGGTAACAGAGTCAACATACCTGGCAGCAAGAGTCAGGAAATGAAAAGACATATAGCATTGGGAAAGTTGGCTGCTAAAGAGCAAGATGTCAGTTTGAAGAGAAAGGTGCACTGAGTCAGCCACAGTCCTTATAATAATTTTTTATGTATCAAGCCTCAGTCTTCACAATTACTTGCTATGTATCAGAGAGCTGGACAATGAATAAGAATGATAGAAGAATATATGCTTTTGAGTTGTGGTTCTGGAGAAGAGTACTGACCATACCATAGAAAGTCAAGAGAACAAACATATCTGACCTGGAGAGGGTGAAACCCGTGTGCTCCTTATAGGCAAAGATTGTGAAGCTCCATCTTGCATACTTTAGCCATGTGGCCAGGAGAGATCAGTTCTTGCATAAGGGCAACATGCTTGGAAAGGTGGCAGGATAGCTCAGGAGAGGAAGACCTCAGAAGAGATAGACTGACACAATACTAGGGTAATGGGGGTATGTGTCAGATATAGTGGGATTGTCTCAGGATAGAGCACAATTCAGAGCTACTGTACAATTCAGAGTACTGTACAGGGTTGCTAGAAGTTGCAAGCTGTTCAGCAGCACGTAACAACAATGGATCTAAAGTTGGGCAATGAATAAGGATTGGGGGAAAGCAATGCTTTTGTACATGGTGCTCAAGAAGAGTGTTGAGTATCCCCTGGACTTCCAAAATTATAAACAAGAATATATTGGAGCTCTTTTTTGTGTAAGCAAATGAAACGTCATCAAGACTGAGGAAAACCCGTAAACTTAGGGGCCACATGAGCCACAGCCACAGCTGCATGAGGACGCACCAGAAGTACCTTGGAGACCTGAGGTAATGCTGGTGGCTTGCATCACCACAGGATCAACTATGACAAATACCATCCAGGTTATTTTGGAAAGGTTGGTATGAGACATTACCACCTGAAGCGGAATCAGAGCTTCTGTCCAACTGTCAACCTTGACAAACTATGGACCTTGGTCAGTGAGCAGACAAGGGTAAATGCTGCAAAAAAACAAGACTGGAGCATCATCATTGATGTGGTTCGATCGGGTTACTACAAAGTTTTGGGAAAGGGACAGCTCCCAAAGCAACCAGTCATTGTGAAGGCCAAATTCTTCAGCAGAAGAGCTGAGGAGAAGATTAAAGGTGTTGTTGGGGGGGGGGTGGACTGTGTCCTGGTGCTTTGAGGCTGTGTTAATTACATGGAAGTTGGTTAATTAAATGTTTTTCCCTTACGATCTGATCTTTGGTGGCAACTATACCTATACCACTCCTCCTGCAGCTAATGCTGAGCAGCGTCAGAATCTCTAAGTATGGGGACCCGTTCCCTGCTGATAGAGATGCATTAACACTTCAGAGGTTGGAGTCATTATCTAATAAAACACTTGATTTATAAACTGGGGAGAAAATACGTATTGGAAAAGTTACAGCAAGGATGCTTCTTGGCAAGGCAAAGGCAGAGAAAATTCAACTGACATTCTGTGGGCATGTTGTCAGGAGTGTCCAGTTCTTAGAAAGTGACATCATGTTTGGAAGAGAGGGTAGTCAGCAAAAGAAGGTAACATCCTCAATAAGATGAACTGACACAGTCCCTGTAATAGTGAGCTCAGTTCTGTCAGAGATACTTAAGATGGTCCAGTATAGGGTGGAGTTCATATCCATTGTTCATAGGGTCACTATGAGTTGTAGTCAACTTGACAGCATTTAACAATAACATGTTCAAAGTATGTGAGACAAAGCTTCGTTATCCTTGCCTCAAAGGAACATTCTGGTTACGTTTTCTCCAAGAAACATGTGTTTGTTGTCTTAGCACTCCATGGGATATTCAGTACTCTTCTATAACACTACAACTCAAAGGCATTAGTTACTCTCCTGTCATTTCACTGTCTAATTCTCAGATGCATAGCATGTGATTGCAAAGACTATGGCTCAAATCAGGTGTACCTTAGTCTTTAAATTGATATCATTACCTTCCGGGACTTTAGAGAGGTCTCTAACAATAGAATTGCCCAATGCAGAACATCTCCTAATCAGTACTGTATGTTACTGATACAGATCAGCTGTGTGCTGTTGTAAAATTTTGTCGAGTGCAACTCATAGCAACCCTATGAACAGCCAATCCTAATCCTGCCCTATCTTGTGCCATCTTCACCATCTCTGATACACTACAGACCACTGCTGAAGTCACCAGGTTAATCCATCTCATTGAGGAGTCTTTTTCTCCTTCCCTGACTCTCCATCTTTCCAAGCATGATGTCCCTTTCCAAGGAATACCCTCACCTAGCAACATGTCCAAAGTATGAAAGATGAAGCTTTGTCATCTTTACCTCCAAGAAGCACTCTGGCTGTACTTTTTCCAAAACATATCTGTTCTTCTGGCAGTCTATGGAATACTCTTCTCCAGCAACACAACTCAAGGCATCAATTCTTCTTCTGCAATCCTTATTACTGTCCAGCTCTCTGATGAGTAGGAGGTGACTGAGAAGACCATGGTCTGAATCAGGTGCACCTCAGACTTCAAACTGACCTGATTACTCCTCAGTAATTTGGATAAACCACTGACAGCAAAATTGCCCAATGCAATACATCTTCTGATCTCATGACTGCTGGTTCCAAGAGTGAAATCACTGACAGTTTCAATCCTTTCTCCATCTATCATAATGTTGACTGTTGGTCCTGTGGTGAGGACCTTTGTTTTCATAATGTTGAGATGTAATCCATACCAAAGGCTGTAGACCTTGATCTTCAGCAAGTGCTTCACAACTGCCTCAATTTCAGCAAGCAAAGTTATGTCATCTGCATAACGACTCTTCCTTTGATCCTTTCATGCCATATTCATCTTCACAGAGGAAGTTGTAAAAGATGAAACAGAATGCATGAAGACTGACATCCTAGGCATCAATGAACTGAGATGGACTAATGTTGGCCACTTTGAATCAGACAATCATTTATGATGATGGGAATAAAAAACCGAAGACGAATGGTGTTTCTCTCATAGTTAAATAAGCAATTTCAAGATCCATCCTGAAGTATAACGCTGTGAGTGATAGGATAGTATCCATATGTATGATAGGACGATCTGTTAATATAATTATTATTCAAATATAGCCACCTACAACAAAAGCCAAAGAGAAAGAAAGTGAGGATTTCCACCAACTTTTGAAATTCAAAATTGCAATTAAGATGCATTCATAATTATCGGTAACTAGAACACAAAAGGTATAAATGAAGAAATGATTGAAAGTATGTACCTGGTGACAGAACTGAGACCAGCTCTATGCTATGAGTTGTTGTCAGGTACTGTTCAAGTCAAGTACGACGCACACAACGTCGACCCTTATAACAAAAGATCTGAACCCTATCCTATCCAGTGCCATCCTCACAATTCTTGATACACTGGAGGCCCAAGTGGCAATCCACCTGGTCGAGGGTCTGCCTGTCCTTCACTGACCCCCCCACCTTTCTGAGCATCATGTCCCTTTCCAAGAACAGTCGCTCTTAGCAACATTCTCGAAGTATGTGAGATGAAGCCTCATCATTCTTGCCTCCAAAGAGCACTATGGCTGCACCTTCTCCAAGACATATTTGACAACCACAGAATATTTATTCAGTGCTCTTCTCCACCACCCCAGCTCAAAGGCATCAATCCTTCTGTCACCCGTATTCATTGTTCAGCTCTCAGATGCATACCAAGTGATCAGAAAGACCATGGTCTGAACCAGATGCACCTTAGGTCTCAAACTGATATCATTATTCCTCAATAATTTGGGAGGCCCTTAACTGTAGACTTTCCCAGTGAAATATGTCTCCTGATTTCCTGACTGCAGATACCAAGGGTGTTAATAGTGGATCCACGTAAGATGATATTGTTGACAGTTTCAATCTTTTCTCAATCTGTCATGATGTTGCTTACCAGTGCAATGGTAAGACTCTTTGTTTGCCTGACACAGAGATGCAAGCTTGTTGTTATATGCCATCGAGTCACCTGTGACCAACAGTGACCTTATGAACAACAGCTCTGAACCCTGCCCTGTCCTGAGTCAGCCTCACTAATTCCAACACACCAACCCCACTGCCCCAGTTACTGTATCAATTCATCTCATCAGGGTCTTCTCCTGAGCTGGTCCTCCACGCTTCGGAGCATGCTGTCCTCCAAGGACCAGTCTTTCCTAGCCATGTGCCCAAAGTATGTGAGACGGAGCTTCAAAATCCTAGCCTCCAAGGAGAAACTTGTTTTCACCCTCTCCAAGACAGATCTATTTGTTTTCTTGGCAGCCCACGGTATGTTCAAAACTCTTCTCCAGCACCACAACTCAAAGGCATCCATTCTTCTTCTGTCATCCTTAGTCACCGTCTAGCTCTCTGAAGCATAACAAGTAACTGCAAAGATCATGGCCTGGATTAGGTGAATCTTAGTCTCTAGACTGATACTGTTGATTTTTAGCACTCTGGAATGGTCCCTGACAGGAGTTTTTCTAAGGGCAATCCATCTTTTGATTTCCTGACTGCTGGTGTAAAGAGTGTTAACTGTGGGGCCAAGGAAGCTGTAATTGTTGACAACCTCAATTTCTTCTCCATCTATCATGGTGCAGCCAATTGGCCCAGTGGTGAGAATCTCTGTCTTCTTGATGTTGAGCTTCAATCCGTATTGAAGACTACCATCCTTGACTCTCTGCAGCAAGCGCTTCAGGTCTTTTTCAGTTTCAGCAAGCTAGGTTGTGTAATCTGCATAACGTAGGTTGCTGATGAGTCTTCCTCCAATCAAGACAAAACTGATCAATAGCTGATCCTCCAGCAGGTTTTCAAAGGCAGTAAATTATACAGCAAGAGACTCACCATCTTTTCCCCAACAGAACTACTGGATTCAAACTGCGTATCTTTGGGTTAGCAGGGCAATACCTTACCATTATACCACCAGAGCACACGGAATATACCATAGAGAGACAAAAGAATAAATCAGCCTATCTTAGAAGAAATACAACTAGAGGGTTTGTTAGAGGCAAGGATGGTGAAAATTCATCTCACTTGCTTTGG